AATTTGGCAATTACCTACTTGTATATTTATATTCCAACGTCACTATTAACAATTTCAAGACGTCATTAATTTCTGAGCATTCGTAATATTGTTAACTTAAGTTATTAACTGCCTTAAAGGCAATAAATTAATAAACTATTATGCTACCTCATTATCCGGAGCAACTATTTAGAAAGTGCCTTATAAAATATTAATAGCAACGCGCATTGTTACCGGAATGTTTCGGCAAAGCCCACAGGCGCTTCACAAAATACACATCGCGATCGAATTTTAACAAGTTTCAAGAAAAGTTTATCTTGATACGGTAAAATCTCAAATTGGGGTTGAAAATATAATAATACAGTACAATTTGGAGTTCACTGCTGAATGTATTTAGCTTTACAAACTTGAGAAGGCTTTGTTTACCGTTGTCCCGAAGACTGACTTTGTTTTTAATGTTTTCCTTAATTATAACGACACGGGCGATTATTATTCTATTGTTAGGTAAAATTTGAGTTGAATGGGAGGAAAATTAGACTTTAATTCGTTTTATCAAGTCTTCATTTACTTATTGACAGTGATGATTTGGATGTAAAGTGAGACGTTCTTCACGCTTCGACGCGACGTAACAACTTCCTCCATTTTATTTCGTCAGTTAAAAATAGATAAAAGAAAAGTTTAATTAAGTAGGTACCTACTTAAATGAATTATTACCTACTTCAAAGAAAAAAAAATGTAAACGAGTTTGGTAAGATATTTATTATTCATCTATGTTTTCTATTTTTATATTTTTGAATGGCATCAAAATACTTTTAGGCAAAGAAAAAAAATGTTTTAACGGCTATCCGAACTATAAAAATTAGAAGCGCCTAGTTTAGGAAACCGCCAGTTAAAGTCAGAAAAGTTGATATTTTTAATTTTAATGCATTATACTTAGTAATTCCTACAAAAAGAAAATAAAGTCCTATAATATAAATTCTTGTACACCACAGAAAACTGCCTCGTTGGCCCTCGATTTATAACGGACTGGTTAAACGTCCTCTGCCTAACAAAGATTTGGAAGTCTACCAATCTAATCACCAATCTATCAAAGGACTATTCCGTTATTCTATAATTACTTAACAATGATCGCTACGGCTGACTGCCTCGTTGGCCGAGTGGTTGGAACTGCGACGACTCGGGTTGGGAAAAGTATTACTGAGTTTAAAAAAAAGAATTCTCAGTAGTAGTACGGAGCCTGGAATTGTGCCCGGTATATGGCAATAGGCTCACCCCCTATTACATGGTATAATGTGCACCTCTGCCTACCCCTTCGGGGATAAAAGGCGTAATGTTATGTTATGATAAACGTCAACCACGAGCATACGTTATTCGTAAAGTTAGGAAAGTTACTTCCCTATACGAGACCTGATTAATAAATTAGCGAGCCCTGCGCCATTCGGTTAGATATAGGCCAAAAATAGCTGCTTATGGTTTGTGTTGCTTTCATATTTTGTTATGTATTTATTAACTGCTACTAAGTAGCTGTTTTCCTAACGTTGTTTAAGGAAAAATGAAGGAAATCTTTGTCACAAGACAATCCTAATAATCGCTAGACACTTAATCATTGGGTCCGTCTGTCCGTCCGACCAGAAACAGACCCGAGCGTACGGCGCGTCGCGTTCCGCGCGCGCCTCAAAGAGCCATCAGACCACCACAGACGGGGCCCAATAGGGCCGATGCACCCCGTTCCTACTCATGCACTTCGAGCTGGAGCCCCGGTAACCCGTTAGGTTCTCCGCGGCTTCGAATCGGCATCAGCCCTATTGGGCCCCGTCTGTGGTGGTCTGATGGCTCTTTGAAACGTTTGAAATAAGCTTAAAAAATTTAGAACACTTATGTACCTCGCAAGTCTCAATATATGAGCCAAATTTGATACGATTATATGAAATAGTTTTTATTTATGGGGGGGTCAAAAGTGGCTCCAAATTGTTCGTGTAATAATACACACGGTGCGGCTCGCCGTTTGAGTATTTCAGCATAATATAATAATATGTAATACAAATTATACCAAACCCCTCAGTTGGATTAATAGTTTGGTATTAGACTTTGAAATTCATAATATTAGGCGGGCTAGAATGGTATTCGTATTAATTAGTACCTCTATTATAAAAGGAATTTGATATGGAGATATGAAATAGTCAGTAACTACGTTTGTGGTTCCAGCTAAAAATGAAAAAAAATAAAAAAACCTAATAGGTATATTTTCGTGGAAAAAAAGAAAACCAACAATTGTTTTTTTTTTACTAAACTTAACCTATATTATTTTTTGTTTGATTGATTCTAAATATATTTGAAGATTTAAATGTTTTATTCAGTAGTTGGTTTGTTTTCCAGAACCCCTTTTTAACGACTTTAATATCAACTAAATATGCCACTAAACTAAATATGACTCATCTGGTGTTGCGGGTGTCCATGGGCAGAGCTGATCACTACCATCAGGTGATCCGTCTGCTCGTTGGCCTCCTATTCCATAAAAAAAAACACTGGCAATGAACAAATCGAAATTACACTTCTCAAAAACTTGATACAAGTCGCCCATCTAAATGCTGACCGCGTAAAGGTTAACTTAACCTCGAAAGTTGTGTACATCTCCAGAATTGTTGACAAAACAATTTCATTATATCTTCCTTTCTCGACTTTCAATTACTTAGGTACCATAATTAAGTTTTATTAAGAAAATCTTAAGTTACTTGAAAATTTTGCTGATTGTCGAGTTATTCAGTGGTTGTTGAAATTAACCAACGTTTTCGTGTCAATTTGTAATTTATTTTTGGTTGTAGCTGACAGACAGGGTGTGCTTAGTACTGGGC